TGAGAGAGGAGAGAACAAAGGAGAAAGAGACGGAGGTGCCTGGAGCCAGCTAAGCAGCCGCCAGACAGACAGACATGGAGCAGGACCTACAAAAGGAAAGAAAGGTTAAAAAGAACCAAGGCAAAATGTAGATGAAGAGAAACGGGTTAAATTAAGTTATAAGAGCTAATGCACCCGGGCGTTGGTGGCGTACGCCTTTAATCCCAGCACTCGGGAGGCAGAGGCAGGCGGATCTCTGTGAGTTCGAGGCCAGCCTGGTCTCCAGAGTGAGTTCCAGGTCAGGCTCCAAAGCTACACAGAGAAACCCTGTCTCGAAACCGTGTCTCCTACCATCATTCCTCAGCATGTTTTACACTAGTATATCTTTGGATTACATTATTTTTTAGAATATTTGACTTTTAAAGTTGCTGCTTGAGCAGCTGACTTGAGTTACATTTTTAAAAATCATTAAAAATAGATTTTGACTTGAGATTAGGACAGGATTTCCAACAATTTCTGAAAAGGCCCTAAACATACTTCTGCCATTTTCTTTTCTTAAAAGATTGGTTTGTTTTTGTTTTATGTGTATGACAATTTTGCATACATGCATGTATGTGTGCCCCATGTGTGTCTGGTGCCTGCAGAGTCCAGAGGAAGACACTGGATCCCCTAGAACTGGCGTTACAGACAGTTGTGAGCCACCATGTGGGCTCTGGGAACCGAATACCTACTCTTCTGCAAAAACAAGTGTTTCTTGACCGTTCAGCCATCTATCCAGCCCACTTTTCTTTGTTAGAGATAGGCTCTCACCCTGTAGGCCCTGGTTGACCTGGAACTCACAGAGATGCACCTGCTTCTGCCTCCCAAGAGCTAGATTTAATGAGGCATGTGCTACCACGCCCAGCTTCATTTTATAATATTTATGTCAAAAAGCATTAATGATTATAAAATCAGAATATTAATCAACTCTGAAAAACAATCTAAGTCCTGTGGTGTCAAATATTCAGCCAAGATATCTTTCTTTATGTCAAAAATAAACAAAAGTGCAGGGCAGTGGTGGTACTTGCCTTTAATCCCAGCACTTGTGAGGCAGAGGCAGGTGGATCTCAGTGAGTTCAAGGCCAGCCTGGACTACAAAGAAAGTTCCAGGATAGCCAGAACTGTTACACAGAGAAACACTGTCTTGGAAAAACCAAAATAAATAAATAAACAAGTTCATTCATCTCATTAATATGGAATTTTGCTTTCATTTTTAATAGTCACATTGTACCTATAATTTAAAAAAATGTTAAATAAATGTCAGAAACCTCTGGGCTCCCCTGATATCTCTTTCCTTCTAAGTGAGGGATCACTGGTGAGACTCTTTGGCAGGTGAAGCCTGTTCATTTCCAGGGACTCTGTTGTGCAGAGCCACTGGGCCAGCCGTGTGCCTCTGACCTCTGATTGAGTAAGTAACAAGGAGCAGAGAGAGGCTCATCTGACTGGTCTGGAGGTGGCAGGTGAGGAGGTGGTGGCTGCCAAATGAGAAAAGGCCTGCCCTGCCTGGCAGCCCCACCTATCCTCAAATCCAGCTCTACCACACCAGCCCCAACAGGCCATCCCCGCCCATGGAGCAACAGGGTGGGGCACCCTGGAGCCAGTCTCCCTCTCCCCACCTCTCTCTGCCTCTCACTCAGTCTTCCTCCTCCTCCTCCCTGCCGTTCTGAGTGGAGAAAGCCCCTCTGCTCACAGGTGTGGCCCAGTGGCATATCAGTGGCAGAAAGGGCCTCACCAAAGGACACTTCCTCCACAAGCCTCCCCAGTGGCCTCTATCTGGGAGAGTGAGGCTGCTGCCTTCCTTTGTGAAGTTCCAGGCCTTTAGACTGGGAAACAGCATTTTCCTGTGGTTAATCTCTGAGAGACTGTAGGAGAGATTAGGAAAAGTCCAGATACTTGAGCTTGGTTATTCCAATAAGCACTTATGAGCCACTACTGTATGCCAGGCTCTGGGCCCAGATGCTGCAGGGAACTTTGATTTATAGCTTTAGGGGCAAAGAAGATTCCATTGCTGCAAAAGTCAGTCTCAGGACACCTTCCTGGAAGGAGTGGCAGGGGGTCAGTCACCTATGGAAGCAAAGACCAGAGGACTGAACCGCAGAAGTCTTGTATGCTATACTCCTCTGAGTATATAGAGTGTATAGAGTCAAGTCCAAGACCCTGGTGACACCAAGCAAGAGCTCTTGGTCTCAAGGGTGTTTTCGATCAATCGGGGGAGGGGGGGAATCCTCTGTGGCATTGTGCTTCAGAATATCACTGTCATCCTACACATCCAGAGCAGCCTAGCTTACCTCATCCATCACACAAAAGGAAAAAGAACTGTTTGGGGTGAAGCAGCCAGTCACTCCCTGATGTTGAGCATGGGAGGAGGATGTTTATTGTAAAGACCCTACCTGGAAGAGTCTACAAGAGACACCCCCCACCACCACCACCACCATTCCGTTCTCTTTAACAAAGAAGAGAAGAGGCACTGGGATCCCAGAGGGGAGCCAACAGGCCATGGTGATCAGATGGGAAGGGTCCCAGTCATTATCTAGCATCAGGAACAGAAAAAGGCCCCTGCCTCTCCTCCCATGTGTGCTCCACTTGTCTCCCCAGGTCCTTCTAAGTGCCTGGGTCACATCTGCTTTTAATCAATTAGGCCTAGGAAGGAGCACAAGATGTCAGCAGGAGGAGTACAAAGACTGCATGCCTCTAGACCCCACCCTCTAGTTCCAACAGCACAGCTAAGTGTTTGGGGTACAACCAAAAGCTCTACTGGTCACAGAAGTTGGCCTGGGGAGAGAGGCCTTGCTGTGCACAAGGCCAAACCAGAATAAGCCAGTGGTCAGGTCAGCAGTGAGAGAAAGGGGAAGAGAGGGAGGGCGTGCTCCTCTAAGGCCCTACAAATGGTAGCAGCTACTGGGACAATGACCACACTCTTCCTGTTTCATGAGTGCCTGCTGCATTTAGGCTTCCTGCTAGGAACCTTCTGACCGATCAGGCAACAAAGCCTAAAGATGAGCATAAAAAAGGGATGACTTGACCAAATTCAGGCTATAGAGTGAAAACAAGACAGCCTAACAAACTGAGGCACTGCTCTAAGAAGTCACAAAGACACAGAGCCCATGACCTTCTCCTGGGCTGAGCTAGTGAACAGCTGGGTAGAGGGTTAGGGCCCACTCAGGGGCTGGCTGAGCTCCCTGAGCCCAGGCCTGCCACTATGCTGAGGGCCCTAGTATGTCCTTGCTCTTCTGAGCAGAGGACAGAAATTATGAGAAGATGCCCCCCCCACCAAGGCCAAGCCACTAAAACAATAAGAACACAGTCAGTTAGGCCAGAGTTTGTGCTAGCCCATTTTTGAGGGTAGGAGTCAAGATAAGAAAGAATTAGGGTGTGGGTCACATCTCATCTCTATCTTCCCTTGAGGGTCAGTTTAGGGCCATATCTTGGGCCTTCAAGCAAGTAGCTCCAGCCATGTTCACACATAAGCTTAAGGGATACAGAGGCAAAACTACTCCAGAGCTGCCACAGTTCCTAGACCAGGACATTGAGAACACTAGAGCACTCGGGAGGCAGAGGCAGGTGGATCTCTGTGAGTTCAAGGCCAGTCTGGTCTATACAGTTAGTTCTAGCACAGGCTTCAAAACTACAGAGAAAACGCTGTCTTGACAAAAGAACGAAAAGAAAAGACAAGCCACCTTCTCCCAGAAGGACTCAGAAACCCCCCTGCCTGGAGCCTCAAAGCTCTATTGGGTCAGTGGATAAAGAAACTACAACTAGGTCCCAGCCCCCAGATCAGTCCTCACCCTGCCCTTGAGCCACCTTCCTGATTCCCTCCAGCATCCTTCTTGGGAAATGACCTCCTCCTCTATCAGCCCTGATAGAACCAGAGAAAGACAAAGAATGGGACCTGGGTCCTCACTCAAACCCTGTAGACCCTGTGCCTCAAGTAAGTCCTGCATGGTTCTTCTCAATTCAAATTCACACCAACCCCTGTTCTTTCTCCCTGAACAAAGTCAGAGACTTAACTACAACTGTCCAAGGTGTCACTCAAGGTCACAGAGCTGGCACACACAAGGTAGAGATTACAGACACATCTATAGGACTCTGCACTCTGGCTCCTGCTGGCAACTTGTAAAACAGACCTTTCTTTACTAAACTGACTTCCAAGACTCTCCTCCATGCTGTACCATCCCGGTGCCAAGGACATTACCTCCATTTGGGTCAGGTTCCCAATGACAGGTGATTCGAGGGATTCTGGAGGAGTGGGTTGGGAACAGGTGGGAGGTCTTGGGCTGGAACTGGGTGCCTGGAGCCAGATTCAGAGATTAGCTATTCCAAGCCATTCCCCCAGTCCAGCTACATCGGTGTACCAGGTCTCTAGGGAACTTTGAATACGATGTGACTAAAAGACTGCCCATCATTTGTCCAGGGTGGGTCAGCCTAGGAGCAGAGCTGGCCCCTTTCTACAAAGGGCCAACAATTCATCAAGAACCCAGCAGTCAAAGAGCACCCTAAGGTGTGATGGGCACCAGCGTTTGCCCCACTAACTGTCTTTAAGAGGCTCATAGTCCAGCCTAAGCAGGCAGAGGCAATGAGGAGGAAGCAAGCCACTCTGAGCCTTGGGGGCTCAGCCTCAGGTAGAGAGAAACTTCATAGCAGGAGGTACTTGTTTGTGTGTGGGATAACCAAGCAGTGAGAGCCCCACTTGGGCCTGAACACATAGCCCAAGCCAGAACCAGAGCGTACAGCCTCTCCCTCCCACCTTCCGGGTACAGCAGCTCCACTCACAATGACTCCTCCCCGTGCTCTCTGGGACACACCCGGAGCTTGGGTAGGTTGAGCCTCTTTTCCCCAAGTGTGAGGCTGGAAGGACCATGAGTTTGATCTTAGAGGAAGAGTATAAAAATAAAACATGATGTTAAGTGTAGATGCTTACACCCACAAGTATCTGCTGTTGAACCCTCCAGGTCACCCCAGCCCTCGGAGAGACGGTCACTAACCTTCAAGGCACACTTCTGCCCAGTGCGCCGGTGGTAGCACTCCAGCACCTTGCCGTTCACACCCAGGCCCAGCACCTGCTTGGATAACTGGTAGTCGTCAGTCACCGCGTACTTCTTGGGCTCTCGTCGCACACCTAGGGCCTGAGCACCGCCCAAGGTGGGCCCATCGAGTGCACCTGGCGGGGGCACAAGACTCCCCTTCTCCCCTGCTGCCTCGCCATCCATGGCCCCCACGGGGCGCTCCGAGGTAGCCCCAGCCTTGCGCGTCCAGAGGCACCTGGGGGAAAGGGAAAGAGTCACTCCCCTCACTTTTGGACACACCCCAGCCTTGGTTTCTCCAGAACCAGACTGACTAGGCTGCTGGCCCCAAGACAAGCTGGAAACTGCCTGAGAGTACCTACGGGCAGCAGGGTGGGAGGTGATCCCTAGCCCTGGCACATGTCGAGTGGGGAAGGAGCTCGGCGCTGTGTAGCCGCCAGATCCTGAGATCTGGTCATACAGGGGTCCGGGGAAAGCGTACCTGGCGAAGGCGCACTTGGTGGCACTGCACTAGACGGAAGCCATGCTGCAGGCGAGACGGGCAAGGAATAGTGAACCGGGGAGCCTGCAGCCGAGGGGCGCCCTGGGCCCGAGTCTCGCCACCCGCGGCCCACGTGACCCCCCACCCCCCTTCCCGGCACGTCATCCGGACTTGGGGCCCCGCTAGGTCAGCCTTAAAGGGCCAGGCGGGTCCGGGTTGGGCTGGCCGGGGCACAGCCCCTGGCAGGCTCCGCCTGGAGCCGGGACAAAATGGGGGCGTGGCCTCCTGAAGTGGCTGCAACTTTCCGGGCGCCCTGGGACACCGGTAGAAACTCCTCCAACTGCCGTACCAGCCTCGGATTTTATCCGCGACCTAGAAAAGTGGCAACGCAAGTGACAGCAACAACATTTTGTTTCTCTAAGGGCTCTTGAGGGCCGCGTTCTCTGTGCACGCGGCCAAGGGGCTGCTTCGACGCTCTAGAATTCAACCCAATTTCTGCCATTCTGCCCCGGGAAGTGGTTGTTTGATTCGCCACTCCAGTCCCTGGTGGTTTAGGGTACCTCTCTAGCACTAGCCAGCTTTTCTTTTTGTACACTGCCTGACCAACCTCTTGACTTTGCGACTTACTTGTGTCAGCCACAAATGTATTGGGCCACATTCATGCTGTCCCATAAGGCATGTGGCCCGCAGCCGCAGGGTGAACACACCTGGCATGTTCTTGAGTCAGAACCTTGATTTCCCATTTGGTCGGGTGCACCAACTTCTCATATTATGGTTTGGGCTTTAGGTTCTATTTCAAGTCTCTGGTCGTGGTGAAGGTGAAAACGTATATTTCCTGCACGAAGAAGGTTTAGGCGGGAAGACTGTGAGTTCGAGGTTAACCTAGGCTACACCGTGAGGATGTATTTATAAAGGCACACGCCTTTAATCCCAGCACTGGGAAGGCAGAGGAAGGCGGATCTCTGAGTTAGAGCCCAGCCTGGTCTACAGAGCAAGTTCCAGAGAAACCAAGTCTCGAAAACCAAATAAATAGAGATTAACTTAACATTAAACTCTCTTTCTCCTACCCCAGAGACAGATTCTCTATTAGCTTTGAAATTTCCCTTTCTGTATTTAGACATCAAGTTCATTCTTAGTCCATCTTAGCCTGTCATAGATATCTTGAGCCAGCTTTCCCAGAAGTCTCTTATTTCACAGAAGAATCAGAGGCTCCCATGGAGCGGGGGAGTGGGGGGAAGGCCTCGGCGAGAGCCACAGAGATCGAGACTGCGTCTCCTGTGGGAACTCTTCCAACCATGTCTACAATCCACAAGTTGGGGAACCCGAGTGATGCCTTGAGACTTTCCTCTAAATAGGACTTTGCTGCCATCTACAGGCTATATTCAGAACTGCAGTCACCAGGACCTCTGTCCTACCCAAAGGTGTATAAATTTCCGGGCCTGGGAATTGATGACTTTGAAGACCTCCTCTATAACCTCCCACCACAACACATACAAAGACACATGGCTGAACGTCCACGATTGTCAGAGAACTAGTTCCTAGCTAGCAGGAACTTGGTGGCCTTCTATCTATACAATGGCCTCCCGCTGCGGATAACCACTTTGTGAAGACTACTGCAACTATTTGTGGGTACTCTCTGCAGGTGGCTCAGCCTGTCTCCTCCAGGCAACATTTAAGCTAGCAATAACCAGTGAAACAGAGGTTCTAGATAAGAGCTTCTGCTGATCATAAGAGCACTTCCTGTGAGCACCACGGCCTCCCTGAGACGGGGGAAGGAGGAGGTCACCATCCCTTTAGACACACACTGAAAACACGTAAGAGAAGAAAGACCGGAGAGGGCAAATGACCTGTTCGAAGCCAGCAACTAGCAAGAGAGCCCCCATTTTTTCACAGCACGTATTGCTGAGAGCCCACCATTTCAATCCCAAAGCACAACCCCCAAGTTGGGCCTTCTCAGATAACGGCCACCTCCCACGATGCTTCCTCCCCCTTTGCGCTCCTTCACCTGTGCAAGAATACTCTCACACATGCACTCACACTATTGTGGAGTAGCATCTTAACTAGGCACAAAGGCATTACATTGTTTAGGCTGCAAAATACTAATTTAACTGTGTGAAGGTGTGTTATATTTGTTTATGCTGCATTTGTTTAACAATGTAAGGATGTGTTGCATTTGTTTCACCTTGCCTGCCTAGGACACCTGATTGGTCGAGTAAAGAGCTGAATGGCCAATAGCTAGGCAGAGAAAGGGCAGGCGGAGCTGGCGAACAGAGAAAATAAATGGGAGAAGAGTGGGAGGAGGAAGGAGAGAAGAAGGGGAAACAAGGGAGATGCCAGCCAGCCAGGCATAGGGACGCAGTGGAGGTAAGATATACAGAAGTAAGAAAGGTCATGACTCCCACGGCAAAAGATAGATAAACAGGTTAAGTTAAAAGAGCCAGCCAGAAAGGAGCCTAAGCTAGGTAGAGCATTCAAAACTAGGAATAAGTCTCTGTGTCATGATTTGGGAGCTGGTTGGTGGCCTAAAAGAGACAGCCTGGTACACACACAGTGCACACAAGAGACACATACAGATATTCATATACAGGACTAGATTTTAAGTGCCCTAAAATTTTTATAATTACGTCTTAAAGTTAGATGGTTTTATTTATTTATTTGTGTTTATTTATTTATTTCCTTTTCAGCTTTTAGGAATTTTATTCTCCTTCCACCTTTTCCCATTGGCTCAGGTGCCTGCAGAGCGGCTCAGGTGCCTGCAGAGCAGCTCAGGGACACTCAGTGGTGACTCCAACCACTCAGTGGCCTGCACTGTGGGAGCTGCTGACCAGTCCTCAGTAACTAGCTGGGCACTCCAGCCTTTAGTGGGGAGCCGCTGGATGGGTGCAGAGGGCACGTGCGCACTCTCAGACCGACCAGTCTGCCATCTCTGGGGAGCTGGCGCCATTCATTCGCTGTGAAATTCCTCCTTGGTCGCAGCCTTCTTGGCAGCAGCCTGTTCCTCTTCAGTCTTCTCTGGGTAAAGACCAGGGATTACATCCCATAGGCGCTCACCAGAGATAGCGCCACGCATGCGGAATACTTCCGGGGCCAGTGTCCACCACATCAGACCCACTGAGTGAGCGCCCTTGTTGTTGCATGGGATGGCAATGTTCACGTAGCGCAGAGTCTGTGTTACACAGAGCAATGGTGGGCAGGTTGACATATGACACCTCTGTGAGAGGCTGGTGGTCAGCCCAGGGATCACCACTAGAAGCCATGGCTCCCTGGAGGCTACTTGGATCTTGTTAGTGAAGGTGCCGGGTGTGAAGCGGCAGCAATCGGAGTGTCTAATGGCAAAGCTTCAGCAGGGCTCGCTGGCCAGTGTTCCCTGAGGAGATGATGCTGACTGACATCAGCAGGGTTCTCAATGGCAACCACAGCCCGAGCTGCAAGCATCAGCCTCCCCCAGGCGCTCTTCAGATTTATGATGTAGATACCAACACTTTTCCTTTTGTAGATGTGCTGCTCCATCTGGAACTGGAAGTCGGTGCCACCAAAGTGGGTCCCTGCCACAAGGAATTTGAGGGCATCGAGGGCTCCCGACATTGTATAAGTTTCCCTTTAAGTAATGATGGGAATCAAGAACAACGCCATATGAACCCATCCCTGGGCATTCAGAAAGCATTTGATTTATTTTTTTGAGACAGGGTCTGGTGTAGCCCGAGCTGACATCAAACTCACTAAGTAGACAAAGATGATCTTCAACTCCTGACCTCCCTACCTCAGCCTCTCAGGTGTCAGAATTACAGGTGTGAGCCACCATACACTTCATTTTGTTAAAATTTATAGAGGAGTCAAACTTGCTTGCTGCAATTGTTCAAACCACACCAAAATATAGAAAGTAAGTAGTCCCATAAAAAAAAAAAAATGCCCTTCCTGGGCTGGTGAGACGGCTTAGTGAGTGAGTGTGCACTTCGTACATAAGCCCAGAGAGTTGGGTTCAATCCTGAGGATCTATGCAAAGATGGAAGGAGAGAATAGACTTCACAATGTTGCCTTCTAACTCTACACTCACACTGTGGCATGCATACCCACGTGCGCGCACGCGTGCACACACACACACACTTAAATGTAAATGCCTATGATTGTATTTCCCATATCAATCATAAACAGAGGTTTTCCAGCTGTTCATTTAACCCAGGAAAATCAGACTATGTAGCTTCTTCTCAATGCTTATGCTGCAGCAACCACCTGGACTCATGTCCCCTTTCACACTGTTAAAAAGATTTAAAACATAGGATGCTGGGCGTGAGCACGGTGAGTTCGTGGCAGCAGACTCTGCCATGTAGCCCTTTGTGATAGTTGTGTTCAAGGGAACAGAGACTGGGACCTTTGTAGTAGCTTACAGTGACCAAATAGACCACCCAATAAGTGCCTGGTGGAGGGAGGGCAGTCCCTGCTCCCGACCACAATGGCCTTTTGATGAAAGGGAACCTGCTCGTGGTGATAGGATAGAAACCAGATATTGAGGGAATATTGCTGTGTATTCTTGTTATCCATCTTGTGATTTTCCTAGGAGGGGGAAGGCAAAAGTGTCTTGCAGTCACCGGGATCCAGTGCCTGGGACTGAACACACTAGAAAGGACCATCTCTGGATATTTTGCCTAGTGATGGCTGAAGGGGCGCCACTAGGTGGCAGTGTGGGCCCCGCAGTCAAGGATGAGGGGCCGTTCAAGGGGCGCAGCCAGGGACTGGAGAGGTAATAAGGAAATGGACAGAGTTACGAAGCAAGTAGGTGGGCAAGTTTGGGCAGAACAGAGGTACACCACAGTTCCCAGCACACAGGTGAGGTGCATTACACTATTAAATCCACAGAAGACTATCAGAGAGCCAAACCCCTTGTGGACACTGGTTTGCACAGAATTTCCTAATCCCTGACCTCTGTAGGAGATGCTTTCAAGGGGGATACCCATGTGTCCTGTCCTCCAGAGTGAGGACAGGAAGGATGCTGAGGAGTTTGCAGGTTACTTTGACCTAGAGAAGAAGTATTCAGAAGGTTGAAGGGCTTTGGTTGCAACCCACTACTGGCTGGCTGTAAGATCTAAGCACACTGTAATCTGTCTTAGTTTCCTCTCATAGAAGACAGGTAGTTGTGAGTGAGAGATAAGACTGGAATTTGTTGAGTGTCTAGCACATGGTAAGTGCTCAGTGATCACGGTGAACTAGAAGGGACATAGTACTTGAAATGTGGCGTCATAAAGATCCAAATTCAAAATCACAGCCCTGGGAGCCAGTGAAATAGGCCAGCAGATCAAGGTGCTTGCCACCAAGCCTGACAGCCTTAGCCTTAGTGTGAGCCCTGGGGTTCACATGGTTATCCTCTGACTCTACATGAGTGCCATGGCTCCTGAAAACAACAGAAAACACACACACACACACACACACACACACACACACACACAGAGAGAGAGAGAGAGAGAGAGAGAGAGAGAGAGAGAGTTGCAAGACATCTGTGAAATCCCCTTATCTTCATAGAAATGTGGCAATAGACAGTTCCTACTGAAGAGTTAGCAGCCATACAGCTCTCTAGATACTCCAGCTCTACTTTACCCACATTCCAAGAAACTGGCTTCTGACTCTACTCTGGGAGCCCTGGTTGAGTTACCCTGAAGCCTAACTTCCCCTTCGAGGCAGCTACAGAGAATTGGGTCCCTTGGAGTCATTTCTGATCTTCACTAAGTATTCTTTTCATTTCACAGATTTTATCTTCAGCTCTTTATCTTGGGTGGGGCACCCAGAGCTTTATCTGTGTTGGGGAAAGCCCAGACTCTATTATTCAAGATTCTATACACTGCCAGAAACCTGTCATCCCTTTCTGAGGAAGCTGGGTGGAGTGACATGTGCAGAGGGAAGGGACACACATACTTGACAGTGATGGGTGTGGAAGTCATAGATACTACTGGCTCTCCAAATCTCATCTCCCCGTATCTTGGACCAAGGTTTTGGAGGATGTTCTCAATAGACCCTATAGTTCTTCAATATCCTCCTTTGTAAACTGGACACAGTGGCTTAGCCTGTAATCCCACACGGGAAGCCTGTACTGGGAAGTTTTGGGATGACCTGGTCCACATATTGAGTTCCAGGCCAGTATGGACCTTTTTTTTTTTTTTTTCTTTTTTTCTACGTGGTGAATTACTGGGAATAAAACATAGCAAGTTCTGTGTTTTACAGGAACGCAGTGTCGCTGTTCTGCCCCCTACCTCTGTGATCCTCTCCCCAAACTCTCCCTTTGTTTGAACTCAGTTTTCTCACAGCATTTGGTGGTACCTCACCATGCCATAGACTGGGCTATCTGGAAGTGGATTGTCTCTGTTTATCTACTGGGGAGGCGGGGGCGGCGGTAATTTCCACGACGGGAGGCCCAACTCAGAGATTAGATGGTAGCGTGAATCCTTCTAGCTGTGGTGATCACAGTGGCCCTGATCATTTCTCGGCCCCCTTATGCACTCCACGCCTCTCCCTAAGTCTCTCTCCAGGTCTTACACCACACCACCTACCTCCCGGCAACTCCGCACACGGTGTCCGGCCGTGAATGAGACCCAATGGGGAGCCCTTGCACAATGTCCGATCATCCGATCGGCTCGGAGCGGCTAGCTAGGAGCACTGGTCCAGACCCTGCCCCCGAGCTGTAGTTCTACGGGGAGATAAGCGCACCCATTCCCAAAGAAGCAGAGGAAAGGAAGACATCTGGCCTCAAGTTGCCGAAGTCGCACCCTTCTTCCTTCTGAACTTGCCCCCATCCCAGTCTTGTCCCTACCGGTCTCTAGGTCCCGCCTTGCTCGTTCACGTCAGTCCAGAGTCCACGCACTTTAATTGGCCCGTCCAGCTGCTCGGCTCCACCTCCAGCGCTGCGATTGGTCAGCTTGAGGAGCTCCTGCCCAATTTTCCTGGAAAGTTCTTGGAAATCTGTCAAAGGTGTTTCCTTTCGCAGTCCAGAGCCCCAGACGCCAGCGCCCCTGTTCCCCTCCCGATCGCCGCAAAGCCTGCGGTTCTCAGAAGATGCGGCTTCCGGGAAGGACTGGGACGCAGAGGACAAAAGCTCAGGAGGCGCCTGGCCCCGCCCCTCCCCCCTCCCTCCCTCCCTGGGTCCGGCCCGTCCCCCTCGTCCTTCCAGGCTGCTAGCTCCACAGCCTTTCAGTCCCTGCTCGCCGCCCGCCCGTGCGCCCCGGGACCTTGACCTTCGCGCCCTCGACACCCATCGGCTCCCTTCTGCTCCCGTCCCGCCGAGTCCCGACTCTCCAGCCGCCGTTGCCTCTGGGATATGGTCCTTTGCGTACAGGGGTAAGCACAGCTCGGTCCCTGCCCATGCCCCGTGCGGGAAGCACGGGAAAACACAGGCCTCGGGCTAGCTGCGGGGTTTGGGAGGGCTTGACCGGTTGGAGGTGATGGAGTGCCAGAGGACCTCAAGTGGTGCTCCTAGGATACCCCCCAACACACACACACTTAGTATGGATAGGGAACCGGGGCTGGCGAGCAGTGGGAGGAGCCCCCATTCCTGGGATCTCACTGTCGCCAACTATAAGAGGTCCCCCAGGATGGAGCTCACCAGTCTAGACCTTTTTGAGCCCAGAGCTCACCTAGCCTTCTGGATTCCTACCTATCGGTGACCTTGAGCTAGCCCCATTCTCTGTTCAGGTCAGCGAGCGGTTAGACTCTCCTTGGGAAGCCAGCCTGGGGTCTTTGACTCTCCCAAGACTGGCACCTGATAACCAACACCCTTAGGAGCACCCCCGTACCTCCTTTTAGCCCAGAGGTGACAAAGACTTTGGCCTAACTTCTGCAGGGTTTCCTAAAGACATGGGATGTGGAACTGGAGTGGGAGCGAGGCTCTGATAAGACAGTCTTGGCCTCAGCTGAATTTTCTTGCCACACCTGTTCACACTGTTTCAGCACCTCCTCAAGTCACTGATCAGTCAGTAGTTGAGGAAACGCCGAGAGCAAATAGTATAGGTGGGCATTACACATCCGGGGAAGAGCGCTGGGTGGGCGTTGCACATCCAGGGAGAGAGCGCTGGGTGGTCTGGTAGCAGTTGTTATAACTGACGTGGGTATGGGTGCCAAGTGGGAGAGAGTGGAAGGTAGAAGGTGGGGCTAGACTCAAGTGCCCTTGCTCTGAGCAGTCCTGGGTCACAAGAAGAGGACATAGAGGTGCTGGGAAGACTATTCCCTGGTAGTTCCTACCCTGTTCCTTCATTCTTTGAATTTTGGGCTCCTCAGAAGACCCACAAGCCTTCCTCTTGGGTGCTCCCTCCTCCATTCTGGGTCCCCACAGCCTCTTTGACTTTGCCTTAACTGAAGGCCCCTGGGACCCTCACGGCCAGTGTTGGGTATTAGGGAAAGAAAATCTCTAACAGGTGTGTGTGTGTGTCCTACCTCCCTAGGCTTCGTTCACCTCACTGGCATGTGCCCTCAGGCATGATGGCTAGATTCCAAGACATGCACACACAGGTTTTTGGAACACACCAGCCCTCACCCCCACCACAATGGCACAGTGGTAGACACATCCCTACCTAGATATGTCATTTCTCCCCAGTAATCTGTGGGGATTAACACAGCCTTTCTACATCTAGACACCTTACCAGCCCCAGAGGTGCCTACTACTCACACATGTGGGACCTGTGCAAGAGGCCTCACTAAGCTGTCTGGTTATGCTTACCACAGAGGCCATGGAATGACTGGCTAGCTGCCCACATACTCTCAGAGGGTACCCGGATCAGGCTATGAGCCCCAACAGGCAGGTCACCTCAAAATTCTGCCTCTAGCTCACTAAGTGGGATTCCAGAGCTCTCACAGCACAGTCAGATTGATTGTGGAAAAACCCTTGGCAGGCAGAGCCAGTCACCCCTTCTCATGAGTGGTCACAGGACCATGACCTTCTAAACACCACTTACACTGTCAAGTCTGGCTTCTGTTCCTGCTGACTGCCACCAGCTCTTAACCGCCCTTGTTGTTTACAAGCAATACCTGATACAAGGTTCCTTCCCAGCAAGTGTGGGCAGAGCCTAGGGTTTCATTATCTTAAGGTCCTAAGATCCAACAGAGGCTTAGACACAGAACTGAGGCCTGGGGACATATTGTATTAGAAATGAGACTGAGACAGAGCCTTCCTTCCTCAGGAAGCAGGGCCCCTGTTTCACCACCTGGGTGGGCTTCCCCTGGGATTTCAGCCATCTCAGGTCCCCTAACCCCAGCTCTCCAATATTGCCAAACCCCTCAGGGCAAGTAGGCCCTCATCTGGAAGGAGGGAAAACTGCAAACCAGAGAGACACAAACAGTACACAAAATCATACAACGTAGCAAGGCTGACTTGACAGGGTGGAGTCTAGAATGTGGATTGAGTATTCTGTCCTTTGTTGGGAGCTCACATTTATGAGAGATGAGAGTTGCCAATGCCTTTAGAGGCCACTGTCTCCCCTCAGAGGGGAGGAGTAGAGCCCAGGATAGGAATCGGCTGGTATGGGTAGGAGCTTATCTAAGTCTTTAAGTCCTAGCCAGTATGGACTGAGGTCCCCACAACAGATTGACAGGAAGCTACTTTGTAACCCTAGGCTTTCTCCTGTAATCTTGGGGTCTCCCTGAGGGTCCCACCCTAGTTCATCCTGTGACTACCAGATACAGTGGCATTTCACAGGCTACCTCGGTCAGAGCACAACTGGGAGATAGCTTTTGCATTGACAGGTTTCCTATTCTTGTGGTGGGAATGCTGAGGTGCCCATGGGGAATGCCTGTGATTTTGGTGATACAAGATGAGGGTTGATTTGTATATAGTAAATTCAGGAGAGTAGAGAAGAATCTTTTGAGAATGGGTTCTGTGAAATGGGGGTATGGGTATATATAGCTCAGTGGTAGAGCACTTGCTTAGCATTTATGAGCCTCTGAGGTCAATTTCCAGCACTCTGAAAAACAAGAAAGAAAGATCTGTATATATGAGCTGGGCGTGGTGGGTTATACCTTTAATCCAAGCATTTGGGAGACAGAAGCAGGTGGATCTCTGTGAGTGTGAGGCCAGCCTGGCCTATATAACAAGTTCCAGGCTAGCCAGGGCTACATACTGAGATCCTGTTTTGTTTGTTTCTTTTCTTTACTTTCTTTGTTTTTTGTTTGTTTGTTTGTTTGTTTGGACAGGGTTTTTCTGTGTATACCTAGCTGTCTTGAAACTAGCTCTTGTAGATCAAGCTGGCCTTAAACTCACAGAGACCCACCTGCCTCTGCCTGTGCCTCCCAAGTGTTGGGATTAAAGGCATGTGCCACCACCGCCCAGCTGGTTTTGTTTGTTTGTTTGTTTGTTTCAAAAAATAATCTGTATGTTGTGGGGAAGCAATCAAAGAACTTTTCTAAAACTGGAGACTATGTGAGACCCCTGTCACCAATCTGCCCACTCTAGATCTTGTCCTTTGCTGGCTGTGGAGCAAACTGGACAGCGGCCTCTGTGGGCCCAGTCTCTGGAGCTGCCTGGGCCAGCCATGCAGCCCTTGCCCACTGGGGCATTCCCAGAGGAGGTGGCAGAGGAGACCCCTGTCCAGTCAGAGAGCGAACCAAAGGTGCTAGACCCTGAGGAGGATCTGCTGTGTATAGCCAAGACTTTCTCCTACCTTCGGGAATCTGGTGAGTCTCAGGGGAGAGACAGACCTTGTCCTGGGAAGTCTGTGGAGGAACTAAGCTCTCTGGATTTTGAATCTTCTTTGGGAAGCGTGGTCCTGCCCCCAAGTCTGATGGTAGAGATACATCCCTCTCCAGAAAAACGTGAAGGGACTCTCCATCTTGACCTACCCTGGGTTGGTGCCCTTAGGTAATTTCCATTCTCATCAGCCCCTTGGCCTCCTCTCTGCTTGTCTAGGATGGTATTGGGGTTCCATTACAGCCAGTGAGGCTCGGCAACACCTACAGAAGATGCCAGAGGGCACATTCCTAGTACGAGATAGCACCCACCCCAGCTACCTGTTCACGCTGTCCGTCAAAACCACCCGTGGCCCAACCAATGTACGCATTGAGTATGCTGATTCTAGCTTCCGACTGGACTCCAACTGCTTGTCCAGACCTCGAATCCTGGCCTTCCCAGATGTGGTCAGCCTTGTGCAGCACTATGTGGCCTCCTGTTCTGCTGACACCCGGAGTGACAGCCCGGATCCTGTTCCGACCCCAGCCCTGCCTCTGCCTAAACAAGATGCATCTGGTGACTCAGCCCTGCCTCTCCCCATGGCTACTGCTGTGCATCTAAAACTGGTGCAGCCCTTTGTGCGAAGGAGCAGTGCCCGCAGCTTACAACATCTGTGCCGCCTAGTCATCAACCGCCTGGTAGCCGATGTGGACTGCCTACCGCTGCCCCGGCGCATGGCTGACTACCTCCGACAGTACCCCTTCCAACTCTGACTGGGACGGGCATTCTGCCCTGCCTCACATAATTACACCCTGGAGGGGACTCAGGACGAAGCTGGACTTGGGTTCCTGTTATTCCTTCTTCAGTCATCCTGGTGCCTGCCTACATACAGCTGGATCAAAAAGTGCCAGCGAGAACAAAGCAGGTGGACGAGGGGTTGTCACACAACTCCCAGGTCAATGCCTCCAGGTCCCATATGGCTCTTTGTGGTGAGCCATGTGTCAGAGCAGAGTGAGACAGGGCAGGACTTTGTCTCACCCTGCTGGCTGGACCCAGTCCTCCATTCACTCACGTGCCCTAGTCACCCAAACTCTGTATGTTCTCCCAGCCCTGGTTTCTCAATCTGCTGGTAGGGCAGGCCCCCTACCCATCTGTAGAGCAGTCAGCCCATTTCTGGGAGAGTATCTGCCAAAGGAACTGAGGTTGGTAGTACCAGCCCCTTGTGGGGAAGCAGGCCAGGTGTGTGTGGGGGGGCTACACAGTTATACAGTATTTATTTATTTATTCTTCTTTTGTGGGTTGGGGATGGGTTAATGGCATGAGCCATCCCATTTCTCTGCCCTAAGGCCTGGGTGGTCCAAAGATTGCCCAGCTCTGGTTCTTCCCCGTGGAGACCCCCATCCCCAGATGTATTGTTGGGCCCAAAGTAGTCCCGAATGCCCTGGCCCTTGCATATAGATGTGCTCACTCTCTTTTCTTCCTAGCCTCTTTTGAGAGGCTGTAACCAGACAAACAGGAGCCAGAAACACAAAACTAAAACTCATCCTCACAGGCCAGGGCCATGGCTTCAGGGAGCTGGCTTTTCTGCGGCCCCTGCAGAGGGCCACGGGCTGGGTCAGGAAGGGGATGCTGGCTCAAGAACTACTGCTGCAACTCTTTTGTGCCTGCTTCCTGCCCAGGAAGTTGCCTGCATGTGAGAGAGGGAGCAATACATGCCTAAGGAAACTTTCTAAAACAATTACTCTAACACAAAAACCAGTTTGGTAGTTTTCCTTCCACTGATTTTTCTGTAATGATAATAAAATTATGCCTTCCATTTATGAAGTCTTCCATGGGGCATCTGGAGTTGCGGGTAGTTTGCCTCCCTTCCATCCCGTTATCATGACCCAGTTTCACATCTGGAAAAGCTGAAGCTCAGAACCTTTACATGACTGAGCAGTCTCTGCCAGGGGCCAAGGGGCGCAAGTAACAGCTGCCTTTCTCGTCACCGTCCCCCTTGTTCCCCTTGGGAAATGAGAGACAGGAAGTGAAGGTCTCTTGGCATGCCTTCTAGGGTGCACTGCTAGGTATGTGGAAAGTGGCAGCAGAAGAGCTCCAAGCCTGAGAGCTGTGTGAAGAGGAAGTGCGATGGGCAGAGCGGGAGGGCGGGGACTTGAGGAGGAGGAGCCACAGAAGCCAGGCCAGTCCTTGCAAGGAGAAAGGACAGTGGGGACAAAGGCGTGTAGGTATGCTGAAGACCCCGACATGAGGCTTCAGAGGGCTCTTCCTGGACAGTGGGGTAGATCATTTGAGTCAGAGAGAGTGACCAATGAGCTGTAGGGTCTGGTCTGGGGGAGGGGTGTCAGAATTCTTGCTCAGGCTGTCTCCTCTTAGTCAAGATCTTGTACATCAGAAATATGATTAAAATGAAAATGCTGTCCAGGGTTGATGGTCTGATTTGGGAATATTTAGGCTGCTGGGATCCTGCTACAGCCTGATATTTTCTCCAGCCGTACGTGAGGGTCTCCCGGGAAAGCTCCTCTAAACTGTGCTCGTGGCCATCCATGCCTTATTTTGTAAACAATTCGAGATATGTTCTTAGTCTTGAGACCATTAGAAGTTGTGAATTACAAGAGGCCAGTAATGGTGGATCCTGAGCAGGGAGCTATGAGAAGCGGCATCTAGATACAGAAGAGGCATAAATAAATAAACAAACAAACAAACAACCAGAGTCAGGGAGGCCCGGGACTGAGGACAACGAGACAGTCATGACAAAGCAGAGGAATGGCACTGTGTAGGCCAGGAAGATGGCTTAGGGGTCATGGGGGTTTGCTACTCTTTCAGAGAGCCAGAGCTTCGAGCTCCAATGGAACTGACACTGTCTTTGAGCCTCTGTGACCCTATACACACCCAAACACACACATAAAACATTTTTTTTTTTTAAGGAATGACATTGGGTTAGAGTAGATGAAGAGGTAGATGAAGGAGAGATGATATTTTTACAAGTTGGGAGTAGTGTCCAAGCCCATCTCTTTGGTCTGACACCTCAGTTGCTGGTGGCAGCTGGTGAAACTTTTGCTAACTGTGGGGGCCTATAGTGCACCTCTTCCAAGTGTCACCATGGCCCTGGTAGGGCCTTTTCTTCAACTTTGATCTCAGCCTCTTTGTGGTTCCCAAAATGTGTGAGGTAATCCCTGTTGCCCTCCACCCCCCAGATCTGAGTCATTTAGTGGGAAAGTAGTGGGCTCATTGGGGCCAGAGGCAGGCTCTCCGCATCTGGTGCCTCCACCTGGACAGTCAGCTGCTATAACAAAAGGAAGCAGAGAAAACCTCATTCTTCACATGAGGGCCTGTCTAAGAAGGCCTGCCAGGTGCAAGCCTGCATATGGACTGTCCCATGGGAGTGGGGTTCAAATACTACCCTAGATTTAAATAACAGGACCAGGGCCTGGCTAAGGCCACTCAGAGAGCTGAGCCTAGACCAGCACTCACCCTAAGTGCCCCTCTGCCCTACATGGCTCTGTGAGATGGGGATAGGCAACTGGGTGGCAGCTTGGACAGTTGTTTCTCTCCACCTGTTTCTGGCTGCTGAGAGCACTGGATTGGCCCTGGCAATGGGCCATCCCTGACTCACCTCAAACCAGAGTCTCTTTCCTGAGAAGGGGCTGCCAGTTACTGACATTTCAGTCTTTATATGAGATGGCTAGCAATGCCTGCCTGGGGATAGGTACAGCAGGAAACCTGTCATTGGACCCCAGACCCAAGGCTAACAGAGAGGAAAAAGCAGCTGGCCAGTGCACTCACCCCTGGATGGTCCTGGGCTACTAAAAAGGGCAACCCTGCTGGTACTAGCTAAGGAGGAAGGGTGAGCCATGAAGTGGACATTCGACCCTACGTAATATCAAAAAAGTAATTAATAATAACCCTTTACTGATTGAGTCCCTTCACATGCACTCTTTGGCCACTAACTGAGCCAGACTCCATCAAGGCCCTGGGGACACAGCAGGGAACAAGACAGACATGGCCCCCATCCTCATGGGACTTGTGGGTAGTGCAAGAGACGTTGTAAACAAGTGAACAAAAGGGCAAGTTTTGAGTGGATGAAGAAAGTAAAGGCAGGAGGTGGAGGCAGAGTGTGACCTTAGGTGCGGGGTCACCCTGCAGCAAAGAGGGTTCCAGAAAATGCTAAGTAGGGTGGCAGTGACCCTGGCTACCAGAGCAAAAGGGAGGGGGGATTGCTCCTGTGGATAACGTGGGGGAAGGGCTGTCCCGAATACTGGGGACAACCAGTGCAGTGGCTCTAAGGCAGAAACAAACATAGAATCCAGGATGGAGTGGGGAGGATGAGGGGGGCCATGGCTGAATTTACTCCAGCTGGTGGAGCACCTTGGAGTCTAGCAGGGCTGTGTCGTGCTCTGGTGCTCCCTGGAGCACCTTGGAGTCTAGCAGGGCTGTGTTGTGCTCTGGTGCTCACTGGAGCCCTTCGGAGTCGAGCAGGGCTGTGTTGTGCTCTGGTGCTCATTTCTGAACAACCCTAAGTGGATGGCCCCATGAGGACTTCAGAACAGGTGACCAGAAAGAAGATCCACAGGCATGGGACTTAGAGGGGTGGAGTGCCACAGGAAACCGGAGGAGGCAAGGGTGGCAATTTGGGGCGTGGCTCATTCCCCATTAATTCTCCCCCCAGCTCTGCACACTAACAGAGGTTGTCCCTGTTTTCAACTGAAGGGGTATGGCTTAGAGCAGTGGCTGTCAGCCTGTGAGTCATAACCAGTTCACAGGGGTCCCCTAAGACCATCAGATATTTATATTACAGTTCCTAACGGTAACAAAGTTACAGTTATGAAGTAGCAACAAAAATAATTTCATGGTTGGGGTCACCACAACATGGGGAACTGTATTAAAGGGTCGCAGTGTTAGGAAGGTTGAGAACCACTGGCTTAGAGAGAGGCAGAGTGGTTAGCTCAGGGTCATAGCCTTGTCTCTAGACGGTATTCATGTAACCACTACTCTACCCGGTCTCTGAAGACTCACCTGCCAAACCTTAGACTCCCAAGATTCAAAAGCCAGACAGGATAGTAGAGGTGCTCAGCAGGGCCTTGGGGGGGGCCAGGGTACTGGAGCTGGGCCCTGGAAGATTCTCCCCGGCCACAGGAGATTGGTCCTATGTAGTGTCCCTCTCTGGACTTTGCCTCTGGAATGGCTGGGGAGCAGGTACTACGAAGCCTCCCAGGTATTTCCTGTCAGCAGGTCTAACTGGTTAGTGTCTTGCTAAGATGTTTCACTCAAGATTACTGAGCATTCCTTTGGTCCCCAGGGCCTCTGAACCTAAGTCCAGCATTTAACTTGCTGTCTGAGCAGATCCTGCTAGACCAAGGCTATATGTATCTGAATGGCGTTGAAGCCCTGACTGGCTGCCTTTACTCTCAGATGGAAACCCTCTTACCCTACGTGTCTGGAGGGAAATGAAAGGCCGGGGGCCTGGGGCCTGAAATCAAGTACTATCCAGCAGATAAGAAGGTCTGGGTCTGTGTATCCTATCAGGAGGGGGTCTGGCCCTGGGGACCCAGCTGAGGCTGTCTTCCTTTAGAAAAGGAGCCTGGGCAGGCTGGAGCAGCCCTTTTCACACCAACCTGTTAGACCAGTTTTAATCTAGAGCAGGCTTACACTTGGTCTCCCCACCCCTCTCTGGCTCAGAGGGACAGTACAGCCAGCCAACTAGGGGGCAACCCAGTGGTCACTGTAGGGCAGCAGGATCGGGATCCATGTCTGGGGCACAAGCTAGAGAAGGTCCCTGGAGGGTTAATTCTGGCCAGACTGCCGACTAGAGGGTGAGCAAAGAGTGCCTGGGCCTGGCTTTGGGGGTAAGCCAAGTACATGGAAGCCGATACTCATCTTGTGAGCAGGAGATACAACAGGCTGAGTGCAGGAGGCCAAAAGCTGTCTGCTCAGTGGAAAGACACTGGTTTCCATGACCCAAGCCTCATCAAAGCAAGCCGCGTCCAGGGTGCAGCAGGTAGCCTCTGAAGGCTGGGAAAACTCGGGGCTACCACAACTCCTCCAGGCAGCCTTCCGGGAGTGTTCCACCTACACAGGAACTTACTGTCCCCAGAGATATCCTGATGGTGTGGTTGAAGAGGGCATGGCATCTAGCAAATGCTTTCCTGGGGCAGAACCCTGCTCTGGGGACTTTCCCAGCCCTAGCACCAATAAATCAGACCAGGCTTTTCCTGTCACTAGACACGGACTCCATTTCCACCAAAGATGTGGAATTCAGTTCCAGCCTGTGTTAGGCCAAGGCTGTGTTCTAAGTGCCTCTCAGCAACTAGCCTCCTCCCAAAGCATTTTACCCTCCCCACCTGAGCACATCAGTGCGTGTGTGCATGTGTGTGAGTGTGTGAGTGTGTGTGTGTGTGTGTGTGTGTGTGTGTGTGTGTGTGTGTGTGTATGCATGTGTGCATGCGCTCGAATGCATGCTGACCTTTCCCCTTGGCTAACATTCCTTTGTTTTCTTCAGCTCCTTCCAGGGGACAATTTGGTAGGAGGAGCCAGCCATAGAAGAGAAGAGGTCCTTGGGGAAACATTGCCTCAAAGCCCAGAGAATGAAGGCCTATCCAGACAGAGATGGTTCCTGTGGTAGCCTGAAAAGGTGGAGGGACCACAGGAAGAGACTTCCTGGGAGGGTGTACTGTTTTTTGTTGTTGTTGTTGTTGTTTTGGTTTTTCGAGACAGGGTTTCTCTGTGGCTTTGGAGCCTGTCCTGGAACTAGCTCTTGTAGACCAGGCTGGTCTTGAACTCACAGAGATCCGCCTGCCTCTGCCTCCCCAGTGCTGGGATTAAA